CCTCCTACTACTACTACTACTACTGCTACTACTGCTAATACTGCTACTACTGCTGCTACTACTACTACTACTACTACCACTCTACTACTACTACTACTACTACTACTACTACTACTACTACTACTACTACTACTACTACTACTACTACTACTACTACTACTACTACTACTACTACTACTACTACTACTACTACTACTACTACTACTACTACTACTACTACTACTACTACTACTACTACTACTACTACTACTACTACTACTACTACTACTACTACTACTACTACTACTACTACTACTACTACTACTACTACTACTACTACTACTACTACTATTACTACCACTACTACTACTACTACTACTACTACTACTACTACTACTACTACTACTACTACTACTACTACTACTACTACTACTATGACTAACAACAACAATACTAAGACAACTAAGACGAACACTACGAGTACTACGAACAGTAAGTGTAACACGAGTAATAATAATTTCAAAACGAAGAAGAGCACTAGTATGAAGAAGCAGAATAAGAGGAGGAGGCGGAGGAGGAGGAGCGGGCGCTTCCCGCGATACATGGGCGCCTCGGCGCCTCTGGCTCCGGGAGGCGCCGAGGAAACCCAGCCGAGTGAGCTGATTCGCTACCCTCTCCCACCCTTGACTACCCTCCTCTCGTTCGGCCCGGAAGGTGGCCCACGTGGCCCCCAGAGCACCTCTCACGAGGGGGGCTTCAAAATGTCTCGGCCAGGCTGTACGCCAGAATTTCGCGGGTTCCCAGATGCATGCGGGACCCCCAGTACAGCAGGCGTTCTCGGGGATGAGTGGAGGAGGTGTGTACCCAAGCCCAAACATGATCATTTTCCAAGTCGACCTCTTATCGGTGAGTCCTCTTGGCTGGGGCTCTCAGCTGAATCTCGGGGAGCCCCCAGATGGAAAATCACCCAAGAACCGTTCCAGGGTTATTCTCCACAATGTGATAGGTGTTTTAGTTGCTACGTGTATGTCTTTCAAGTGCTATTGGTGTGCAGGGGGTATCAGATATAACTGTAGACGCGGTTACAGGGCAATGGTGTTTATTATTATTCTATGTGCGTTATGGGCTCATCCTCATCCTCCTGATTCTCGTGCCCATTCGCTCCCTCGCAGACATACACTGGTTTTACAGCCCTTTGCGCTCAGTGATTACGATACGCAGTTTGGCTATTGGGTTATCGTAACCTCGTTGTCGATATCTTCCTTTACTTACGGATGATCAGTTGCTCTATGGGCTGATAGGTCAGGATCCTTCTCCCAGCAGGTTGTGCTCCATCTCTTTGTTTCTCTGCTGGACTGACGGCGACGGGCTTGATACCCTTGCCCGCGTCCTTGCCAGGTTCTCTGTTGGGCTGATGGGTTTGGTCCCTTGGTCCACGAGTTTTTCGGTGGGGCATCTAGATTGCGTTATCAGAGCACCGTGCTTGATCCATATCCTCTACTTCTTCCTCCTACGAGTGAGCGACTGCCCTTCTCGGTTGCTTGGTCACAATTCCGCTTGCGGTCTGCGACTTTCAGTCGACCATCGCTTCAGTTCAGGAGTAGGGGCGGGCGGGGAAGGGGCCAGGACAGACAACGATGCAAGCATGCAGCCTCCCTCGTTTTTTTTTTTTTTTTTTTTTTTTTTTTTTTTTTTTTTTTTTTTTTTTTTTTTTTTTTTTTTTTTTTTTTTTTTTCTTTTTATATATATATATATATATATATATATATTATATATATATATATATATATATATTATAGCACGAGCAGGAGGCAGCCAGAGACGGAGGGAGGCAGAGACGGAGGGAGGCACAAGGAGGGGGATACATTGCAACAGGAGGCGGCTGCGGAGTGCGCGTCGAATGCCCGCGGCGTCAAGTTGAGAGCCCCCTTTTGAGAACGACCCGCCCTCCATCCTCTCGAAGCTGCTGCAGATTTGCCACGCGAGTGTGCGCGGCGTTAAGGCGCGAGACACGTTTTGAAAACGACCCGCCCTCCACCCGTGAAGTTGTTGCACATGTCAAGCTTTCAGATCGTGAGTGGTGAGGGACTCTCAGGCGATGCGGCCCAGGCCGCCCAATCGACAAGTCCTGGGGGGCGACAGGAGCAGTTTTTTACAAGAAGAAGAGTTCATGGAGGAGTACGGGCGGGGCGCTGAAGAAGGAACAACTTTTCGTTGGGGAGGGGCTCGGTGTTCATTGATTGTTGTGCACTTTGCCTGGGGTTCCCCTTCCGTTTTCCATTGGGAAATGAAGACTTAACTGATGGGAGCAAGGGGCCTCGTTCCTTATGTAGTGTTCCTTAGGTCAACGCCCCGACTGTAGAAGGAGGGGATGAGGGACAAGGAGGAGGGAGGAGTGTGGGGCGGGAGGGTGGCGAGGGAGTGCGAAGGGGGGGCGCAAAAGGCGGAGGGCGGAGAGGCCCACTG